TATAAATTTTATGAACTGTAATTGAGTGATTTTTTTTCTTTATAATAATTTTAGAAAATCCTTAAGAAACTATAATGTATTAAAGAAATGGTCATGATTTCTTTTTGACATAAACATGACTTAAAAATATACCCAAGGACTTTACTAGGATAAGAAATACATTAATAGAAAAAAAACCTTACAGTTAAATTTGGAAAAACCTTAACAGAATAATAAATGGTGCCGGTCTAAATGGACAATGTGGTGATATGTGTGTGTATCAAGAGAGAAAACTGAAAAACAAACAAAACCAATTCTCTGTTATCATTTGCATACAAGGTACATCTACCTCTGGAATAGTATCTATTGTCTGCTCACCAAGGTTCCAGAAGTACTAGTGGAATGGAATAATAGCTTTAAAAGAGGATGCACAATAGTTTGGTAGGAAAAGGCTGCCCCATATGACCAGTTGAAATGTGAGTGTATCTTAGCCCATTTTCTAGTCATCTGGGAATATTTTAAAATGAAATAATTTCTACATTGTTTTTCTCATTCAAATACAATTTTCATTTGCATATACTTTTGTGACATACAAGTGGTCATTTTCTTTTTAACAGATATAACCACTAAGGAAAGGCATTTCATACATACTATAGAAAATCTAGGATTAGTACTCACACATATACATCCTATTACAGTATTTTAGATTTAAAATTCTTATAGTCATTCTTCTTTGTGCATTTTAGGATGATAAAATATGAAACTAAATGGAAGTAAACTTAACAGAAAATAAGCTGGAAAGTAAACCTCATAAATTGACATTTTTTAACGTGACATATTTAGCCAACCACTTAATTTAACAGGGTAATACATTCTCTTGGACCCAGCATATTTATCACTGTTATTCCCTCACTGCTAAAGATTTCAATACGCCCTGCTAAGGAACAAACAAGAGGATATAATAGATGAATGCTACTTTTAAAATATTGCTTAAAAACATACATAAAATGAAAATGTCACAGTTGACAGCAGATTTTGATTTATACAGGATTCTAGTAAAAAATGTGACCAAAGTCACTATGTTTATACTGATGAGCTTCACAGATCATTTTGAAGTGCAAGTTTTTCTATTTTTACTGTTTCTAGCAATCTATCTCTTTACTATGATAGGAAATTTGGGAATGGTTTTATTGATCATTAGGGATTCTCGACTCCACAACTCTATGTACTATTTTCTTAGTGTGATATCATTCTTTGATGCCTGCTATTCTTCGGTCGTCACCCCCAAAATGTTAGTCAATTTCTTGAAAGAGGACAAAGCCATTTCTTATCTTGGATGTGTAGCACAAACGTTTCTCTTTATTACTTTTGGGACCACAGAATGCTTTCTCTTGGTGACAATGGCATATGATTGCTATGTAGTTATCTACAATCCTCTCCTCTAGTCAGTTAGTATGTCATCCAGAGTCTGTGTGCCACTCATCATTGCTTCCTATGTTGGTGGCATTGTGCATACCTCTGTACACACAGTGGCCACATTTAGCCTATCCTTCTGTGTATCCAATGAAATTAGACATGTCTTTTGTGACATCCCTGCTCTCCTTGCTATTTCCTGTTCCGACACTCACACGAACCAGCTTCTGCTCTTCTGCTTTGTGGGCTCTATTGAGATAGTCACTATCCTGATCGCCCTGATCACCTATGGATTCATCCTGTTATCCATTCTGAGGATGCATTCTGTTGAGGGGAGACAGAAGACCTTTTCTACATGTGGCTGTCACCTGACTGGAGTATCAGCTTATCATGGAACCATCCTCTTCATGTACATGAGACCAAGTTCCAGCTATGCTTTGGACCATGACATGATAGTATCGATATTTTACACCATTGTGATTCCCAGACTGAATCCTGTCATCTACAGTCTGAGGAAAAAAGATGTAAAAGAGGCCATGAAAACAGTGCTTAGGAAAAATTGTCTTATAGATAAAGTATCTTTTTACAGTAAAAAATAAATTTAAAAAATTGAGAGTGATATTTGTGCCTCAGTATCAAAGAGGTATGATTAAAATATTTTGTTTCAGTTTATTAATGTATTTTTTATTCCAGGATATTTTAAAATAAAGATCATAGTTAACCATCTACCTATGCTGTCTTTAGATTAAAAAAAAACTTTCCCTCATCAATTTGCTTCTTACTATGTTCTTCCTGAGATATGAGTGTACACACATATATGTATGTGGATGCTGATATTGATAGTTATAACACAAATGTACGAATCATTACTTGTAGATGTTGTGTATTGTTTCCTTTCATCTCCATGTAATGAAATATATAGGTTCCAATAGTTGCAGTTGTAAATAACATTATCATTTTGTCTGACTAGCTTAATCAAATACCACCTAATCAATAACAAAATCACAGCTCACATTAGCCAGGAACACTTTCCATAAAGCCATTGCTGTCTGATTCCAGTGTAAAGCACTCTGCCCATCCTTGGATCCACACACTGGCGGGAAACTCATCACAACCCGTGGCTCGGAGACCACAGAAAATGTGTTCAGATTCCTAGTGTCCTTACTGTCCTATGCATGACGGTTCATTTCTCTCTATTTTGTTACTTCATCCAGAGCATAGCTATTACCCCCATCTTTAATATCTCCCAGCAAACAAAAGTCTAGGCATTAGCATTTATCAAAATCATACCTAAACTTAAGAATGACAAAATAAAAGGACAAGGACAACAAATAAAAATATATAAGTAGCTGGCAGATTAGGCTCTTTCCAGAACTAAGCCAGCCCACCATTAAAAAATTTCTTACAGGCCTGGCCCTGACTCAAATTTCAGCTTCTTTTCCTTTGACCTCTGTCCCTCTGTGATGCCCTTGCACATGCTACCACTGCTCAGTGCCCAGACATAAAAACCAAAGTACAGATGAGGTTCTCTCTGAAGCTCACATTTAGCCCTGTTTCCAAAAGACCTCATTTCAGTGCAAAGGTGTGTTTCCATCAAAAACTATTTGAAGTTGTTATTTTGTTCCTTACTTCCTCCTGTTCATTCGCTTTTATTTATTAATTTTTAATTATTATTTTATGAAACATATTCTCTTCCCCAAGGGATATCCTTATTTATTAATTCAACAAGACAATCTCCTAAGAATTAGAGTCCATCCTAAGACTATTTCCCTAAATTAAGGTTATTAAGTTTAAAAAACACCTCCCAGCTTTTATATGTAACACCTCTTATTGCCATATATTCCTACTACAGACTCTACCTTTATTTTCTACTGTTTAGAGGCTTTCTCCACCACTGTTCACATGGCTACTTTTGTAACATGTCAAAACTAAACCATGGTCACTGATACTCATTTTCTTTGCATATCCAACCATGAGATGGTGACTGCCCATGTGTGTGCATGTGTGTGTGTGTGTGTGTGTGTCTGATTTAGCATTGAAGGGAGCCTTAAACACAATTCAAATTCACAAAGATAGATAAGTTTTATGATTTAAAATTTTAAATTTCTGAAAAAATCAATCACAAATATAGTAAAAGAAACAGCCATAAACAAGGAAAATAGATACAATTATGCATCTGTTAAATTAATAAATGCTAGACTCGTGTTTCATAGAACTATGGACAAAGAACACACATGGACAATTCACAAAAGAAGAAACATTTTTAGACTAATCCATACACTTAACTTTAATAGCGGTCTGGAAAATGTGAGTGTAAAATGATATGAAACAATATCGAACACTCATAATGTTGGCAAACATTAAAAAGTCTGGAACTATAAGTGAGGAATAAAAATATGTAAACTTCATTATTGTCTGTTACAGAAAAGTTTCAGAAGCAACCAAAATTCTCATCTATTTAAATCTATGAACCAAATCCATAACAATCAGGATAATTAAATCACAAAATAGGATAGTTAAACAATATGTATACCAAGCACAGAATGTTGTAAACATCTTAAATCCACTTATATATTTTTAAAATCACATAGCTAGCAACTATATATAGTATAATATATACATTAGACTAAATGCATTTTATCGAAAAAAAATATGGATGATACATGAAGACGTTATATTAAGTGAAATAAGCTCATCATAGAAGGACAAATACTGCACAATACAATTTATGTGAGGTATATAAAATAGTCAAACACATAGAAGCAGAGAGTAGAATGGTAGTTGCCAGAGGCTGGGGGAACAGGAAAATGGGTGTTGCTATTTTCCTGTTTACTTTATATTTACTTTATAAATATAAAGTTTCAGTGATGCAAGATAATTAAATTCTAGAGCTCTGTTAAGTATTGCTGTGCCTGTACTTAGCATTTCTCCATTGTATACTTAAAATTTTGTTAAGAGAGTAGATCTCACGTGAAGTGTTCATACCACAATAAAAATAAATGAAAAGATTTGGAAAAACAGTAAAAGGTTCTAATAGTTGATAGTTGTTGCTTCTAGGAAGGTTGGAGGGGCTGAGAATGGGTATTGAATCAATGGAAAGTTAGCCTTATGTAATTATGTATTACTTTAAAATAATGAATCTTATAAAACTATTGTTTAATGTGGGTAATGAAAATGTTACTATAATGTCATTTTTCTGCATATTTACGAGCATGTAGATGTGTGTGTATGTTCCTTAAAAATATTTTAAAAGGTGAAATTTTGACATTTGGTGATGGTACTGTCTTAAAGTTTTGTCTGCTTGACCAAGGGATGTTTATTAAATAGCACATTCAAGATTTATAAAATGAAAAATAGACCTCCTATACAATAAATAATAGATGCGAATGAGAGGTCAACTTGTAAACAAAGTGTCAATAACAACAAAAAGTATAAAAGAAATAGTTTTTTTAATCTTTACAATGTTATAGGAATGCTAAACAGATGCGAAAGTAGGCAGAACTTATGGGGAAAGGAAGTATTGAATGAAGCATAAAACAGCCTGTACCTTTGGTCACATGAAAGGCAATATGCAATGGACATTACAGAAGAAGCTACCACGAAAACTTCATGTGGCTGTTTGGGCTCTGGGAAGAACCTCAAGGATTTAAATATATTGTAATGAGAACTTGAGGATGGTAAAAAGCTTTGTAATTTCCTTTTTATTGTCCACAATTTGTCTTCTGCCTCACTAAGTTTAGAGCTTAGAATGTGCTACAACCTTATTAAATATTAGAAACACCAGAAGAAAAAAAATAGCTGTGTCGTGCCCTGGAGTAGAGAATACTCTAGGGAACAATATGCAGGTTATTACTACTTCTTTATCAAAGCTAAAATCGCATTAAAGACAGATTATGGCCCTGGAAACAAAATCCTCACATTTTATTTCAGAATTTTAAGATGAATATCGTAATCATTCATTCATTTACTTATCATTCATTTCATCAGTCAATCAGTGTTTTGAAATATTTTTTGAACATCTGCTTTTACCTGGGTATCATTTTACAAGCTATTAATATAAAGGAAAACTAGACATATCTTTTTCACTTATAAAGCTCATAGACTAGAAAATTCCACACAAAAAGAAAATAAAAATTAGTATATTTAATTATAATATTTATGATTGAGGAAAGGTCACAAGGTTATATAAAAATATGTTTTAATCACATAATTTTAATTAAAAACTATAAGATCCGGTTCATGATGGGTATCATATTAATTTAATAAAAATATTTATATCAGTTTGCTTATAACCATTCATATTTGGGTTTTATGTTGCATGTCATCTGATATTTCTGGCAAATATACCGTGGCATGTTCTTGACACAAAAACAGAGGCTTTCCATTCAGTGTATTCCCCATATTCACACTAAAATTGAACACTAGGACCAGAGCCCTGTGCTTTCTAACTGTTCAATTTTCTCCATCCTGGGCCCAGCAACAACACTTCCCAGATACCGGGGTACAATTCAAAACACATAAAGCGTGGAGTCATTGCATGTGATTGTTATTCAGTATGAGCATCGAGAAGAGTCCCTAGGCTGTTCCACATTTTTATTCTTCGGGTAAAATTTTTGCATGGATACTTGATTAATGAGCATGTAATTTGTCTTCTTTACCCTGGGGAATCAGAACTTGATCTGGGGTTTCTGGATCTCATGTTCGGGAACCAGGACCATATACAAAAATATTTCAGTGGGAATGTCTTCGG